CAGCAGCAGGAAGGCAGTGTCAGCAGTTCATCCTAGACTTGAGGGAGCACACAGGATGGCGAGACGTTAGGAAGGTGAGTGGTTCTCTCCTCTCCTCTGATGCTTCGGTACTTAGCCATGTCTTCCGGGAACACTTTAGATAAAGTTCTTAGATCAACAGACCTTTAAATGTCTTCACTGTATTGATCTTGCCTTTAATCTGCTCATTTTTAGCTAGAGCCCTCTCCAGGCACTCCTTGGTGTAGAGTTGGGAGTTTCGACCTTGATCTATGTACTCAAACTTCCAAAGGTACAGTAATACCATGAAGCCAGACAGCCTATTCCTTAAAAAATATTGTCTCCTTTACTCATTGATAGAACATATGCTAGAGAGAGAGAGATCAACACCCTCCACTGGATCTGGTCATGCCGCATTCCCCTTCCTCCAGGCCTTCAGACCATTGGATCCTGGGCACTTGCACACATGCCCAGCACATTTCAGACTGGGCTGGGGCTCTGAGCCAGTCTCCATGTGGGACCTGGCTTCTATTGAGCAGCACATTGCTGTAGCACCACAGAGAGGCCCTTGACAGCTTATTCTGTTCCACCACTGTACCACTCTGAGGCTCCAGCTGTGACCCAGACAGACGCAGGACTTGCAGATCCCATAGAGAGCTTGAAGCCCAGCTACGTGCACAAATAGCTTCTTAAAAGATGCCAGATGACTTGACACTCGCTGGAACTTGATGAATTGATAAGGTCAAAGGTAGCTCCTTCCTACAATCGTTCTCAATCTAATACTTCACTACTTAAGAGGGTTGACATTTGGTGACAGGCTCAATAGCATTATGTTTCATCAGACTGCTACAAAGGTAAAGGGAGGAGGAGGAAAAGGAAGTATTAAGAAGGTTGGGGCCAGTCACAGGGATATGGCAGTAACACAGAGCTCCGTGATGCTGAGGCCACTGGGAAGAATCTGGGTTCACGTGCCAAGGTCTCCTTGTACACACCGAGTACACATGTGCCCGTGATCCTGGCTCGCTGAGGCTGAGAGTGGATAGTGGCGTGAAGGCCCTGTTGGAGATGCCTTTCTCTTCCCCCTCAGCCCCTCTTTATCTTTCTCTCTCATGGAATAAATAAACTTAAAAATGTATGTAAGAAGGTATGGATATGGGGAAACTGTAATAGAGAAAGGTAGTCAAAGTATGAAGAAGCTTGGGCTTGGTTAGCCAAGCTGCATTATAAAAGATAATTTCTTAAGATGAATCCAAATTCTAAGGCTTTAACAATTTTCCCATAATGAAAATGTTTATGAATCAGAGGCCACAAACATTTATAGCTGTTGAGGACACCTCAGCTTCATTTGAAACTAATAAGAGAGGCAAACATTTGTCCCAAAAGGCATCACTCACCCTTAGTGTACTGCAATATCCTTTCCACCAAGACAGGGTATTTCGTGATGCGCTGCGTGACGAGCAGAATGCATTCTGGAATTCCTCGGCGTCGAGCCAAAAGATTACTATTTCGGAGCTTAAAAAATATATATGTATACAGTTATATATATACAAATTCTGCCTGTGTTTACTTTGTAGGAGTGAACTGAATAATATAAAATCTACAGCAGTACAATTCTATTTAGATTTAACATAATATTCACTGTCATTAAAACTTGAAGTATTGTCATTAATTTAAGTTGTCAACTCTGTCATTAATTTCAACATCCCAACTCTCCAAGATTTCAAGAAGTGTCAAGTTACTCTGATGTTTTTGGAGTTAATTGCAAACGTGAGCAAGTTCCAATAGTTTTAAGTGCGAGGATTTATGAATAGCATAAGTTTTTGAAAAACTCTCAGAGATTATAGTTCTTGGGTTGTTGGAAAAGTCATGGTACATTTTTGCATAGAATAACATATAAAACTATGTCATGGCTTTTCCAATAGATTTTGAACATGAGTTTTGGCTTACTCTATTTTTTTAACAGGCCACCCTTAGTATCTTTGTTATTCACTATAACACAAAGTTCCCTCTAATGAGAGTACCTTTTTTTTCAAAATATTAAAGCTTTCTTTAAGTTTCAAGACCTCAACACACTTGCATGTGAAAAAAAGAAAAAATGAGAACCTGGTAGCATTATTAAAATGGTGAATAAATATTTAGAACCCAGGAAACTTCATGAACACATTTCTTTAACAAATAAATTATAAGGGATGGGGGAATGGAAGTAGAGCATCCAAATTAAAAGAAATTTAAAAGATTCACCCACTGTATACAATATGTGAACCTTGGTCAGATTCTAATTTAAGTGATCCAATTTTAATGAGATACTCAGTGACATTTAAAGAAATCAAAGAACCATTGCTAATATGATAATGTCATTGCAATGTTTAAAAGATACATTGTTTACAGATACACAGTACAGATGAAATTATATAATTTCATGAATTTGCTTCAAATTAATTCAGTGGGGGTGGAGCAGATTCTATGGGAGTTTTGGGTTTTTTTTTTAAAGAGAGATCTTTACAATATGGTGTGTATGCTTGCCAGAGAGACAGAAAGTGAGAAATCACCCCACCAGGGGAGACAGCCATGCTGCAATCCCTCTTGGCCATTCTCCTCTCGGGATCTTGGGGACCCATGCACACATGCCCAACATGAGTTTTAAGCCTCTAGATCCAGGACTTGAAACACTGTCTCCTACATGAGAGTTCAGCGATGTAACCATTATGCTATCCGCTGGTCCCTCTATGGGGCATTTTTACTTTGGTTTTCTTGATATTTAACTTGACAGGGCATAAAACAGCTTCCCAGGATATTTAAAATATTTCCAGAAGTTTGGTGGGTGTAACCTTACAAATATAAGATATAAAAGGAAATAACTGGGAAGAAATATTTCACTGATATGGAAAAAGAGACTTTTCATCTTTGCCACAAACCCACCCCATTCTTCTCCTTCCCCTGAGAAATAGCACCTAGATATAAAACTTGTTTAAATCATGTGAGAAACAAGCATAAGTTATTTCTGTATGCTGGTGTAGCACTTTGTTAATAAAGTTCTTAAATACTTGCCTTAATAAAATTCTGAAACTTTTTATTCTGCTGGAGTTCTTTAAAGAGGCTTACGGCTTCTTTGTGATGGATACAGAATTCACCATATATTTTTTTCATTTTGCTTGCATTTTCTTCTGAAAACTGAGAAGAATAAAATTTTAATAATGGCTTATAAATTTAGTAAGTTCTAAACACAGAGAAGAATATACAATTTTTTATATATTTCAAAACATTCTCTGCAAATAAAGAAATGTCATGGAATTTCTGGGCACCATTATTTGTCTTCCCCAGGATTTGTCTTTTTTTCCCCCTAAGATTTTTCTGTCATAGGGCATGTGCACTGAGAAAGAGAGAGAGAGAGAGAGAGAGGAGAGGATGGACTCCCACAGAGTATGGCCACACCGCAATTCCTTCTCCTCCATTTTCCAATCAGGATTTTGGGCATGCACGCACATACACCCAGTGTGATTTTCATGCCACCAGGTCCAAGGCTCAAACCACAGTACGCCATGTGGGAGTCCAGAGCCTTAGCCATCACACCACATACTACAAACCTAGGCACTTTTTAAATTAAAATAAACAGTAGTTAAGCAGTGAGGTTCAATCTAATATGATTATATTACATTGGATTGGTACAATTATCAAATGAATGAAAAACATCTGATATCTTCTATTCTTTTTTAGTTTTTGTTCAAATTTATCAATTTAATTTGTAGTTTTCATACTTTCAAAGAATGAAGGAAGCTTATATGGCCACTTTGGGAACCTTCAGGAAGGCCTGCCCCACCAAAGAAACAATAAAGTGGCATTTACATTGCCTATGGGCCATGTCCACGGACTAAGTGTTCAGCTGGAAATTTGATTTTTGTCTGCATATCACAAGTGGACCAAGAGACCCTCTGTCATTAGTCAACATGGAAGAGAATGAACAACCAGAATACCAACTTACTAAGTGATGGAAAGAAGCTGATACATGGACTGGATGCTTGTATAAGGCTAACTCGTAGAAACTTTATCTTTGTAGAATAATCTTAAAGGAAACAACTTGAGAGTCAAAAGGTGGTGTGGCCAGACTTAGCTGAGTGATTTAAATGCTAGTTTTCAGACCATGACTGTGCTACATGCCCATGTCCACACGGAAGATCAGTGCAACAGGAACAGAAACAAGAACATACCCATGCCCCTGAAAAATACCTAAAAGTGACATCGTCATCTGTGGTCTTTTCATCTTCGCTTACGCTTTTATCTACGTTTGAGGCCAATAAGTCTCAAAAGATGATCCTTAAACCACGTATGCATGCTCTAAGAAAACCCACTTAGGTTCAAATCTAACAAAACAAACACAGGACTTGTATGCTGAAAGTTGCACAAGGCTGGTGAAAGAAACAGAATAAATCTAAATAAATGTAGGGCTATCCTATGTTCATGGACTGGAGGTCTTAATGTAGCAAATATGTCAGTTCTCTTTAAATTGATATACAGGTTTAATGCAATTCTTACCAGAGTCTCAGTAAGTTTTTTATAAAGGTAGACGACACTATCTTAGAATTTATAAAAAAGAAAAGGATAGCTAAATCAATTTTGAAAAAGATGCTAAAACATAAGAACTCAGCCTTTCATTCTGAAGATTTATTATACAGCTATAGTTGCTAACATTTCATGGAAAGACAGACACATAAATCAGTGAGACAGACTACAAGTCCAGGATGCCCAACTAATTTTCAACAAGTGCAGGAGCAGTTCAACAGAGTTCAAAAAGATAGACTTTTTAACCAATAGTGCTATTGCTACTGGACATCAATGGGAGAAAAATTAATTCAAAATAGGTCACGGACCTAAAATGTACAACTATACCACTTTTAGGAAAAAACTCTATGGGATCGAGAACCAGCAGTTAGCGTAATGGCTATGTCGCTGGACTCCCACGTAGTCGACCACGGTTCACGTCCCGGACTTGGTGGCTTAAAACTCACGCCGGGTGAGTGTGCGTGCATGCCCAAGATCCCGAGAGGAGAATGGAGGAGAAGGGACTGTGGTGTGACCGTCCCCCTTGGGGGGTGATTTCTCGCTTTCTGTCTCTATGTCTCTCTCTGTCTGTCTGGCGAGTGCACGCGCCCTATAGCAAAAACCTCTCCAAAAAACAACAAACAAACAAACAAACAAAAACCTCTATGGGATCTCGGGCTAGACAAAGAATTTTTAGACTTGAAGACAAGTTAAGGATTTGGAGAAAATATCTGGAAACATATCCAACAAGGACTAATATCTAGAATATATCAAGAAATACCAATATTTGATAAAAAGAAAATGAACAATTAGAAAACTGACAACCACCGGGACCAGCAGCTGGCATGATGGCTATGTCACTAGACTTCCATGTACTCAACTACAGTTCGAGTCCTGGACCCAGTGGCTTAAACTCACACCAGGTGCATGTGTGTGCGTGTCCAAGATCCCGGGGGAGAGTGGAGGAGAAGGGATTGTGGCATGGTCATCTCCCCAGGGGATGATTTCTCACTTTCTATCTCTCTCTTTCTCTCTGTCTTTCTGGCAAGCACATGTGCCCTATAGCAAAAACCTCCCCAAAAAGAAAATGGACAACCAGAACACAAAAGCAAACTTAAATACTGAATACCAAGGACCCGAGTGGGAAGTGTGTGCTCCATTACTAGGCTCATGCTGTGATAGCCAATTTCTCAAGCCTTGTTCTCAATTTAAGCCCTGATTTTATTCACAGAAACCAAGTAAATATAGAGTGGATAGAGACATGCACTTTTGTTAACTATGAAAGTAAGAACAAAAATGGTTCAAAAGGTTCAAATTAAAACACAGTAAGCCATGATTATTTGTATCAAAGATGCAAATAATCTTAAACGATAACATTTAAAATGTGCATTTCATTTCTGAATGTACTCAGATTCAAGTTCACTTAAAATACACTCAGATATTTTTATTCAAACTGTCTTGCAAAGTAATTTAGTCACTTAACTCAACCCTGCTACTTGGCACCAGGTGCTCCCGGTGAATGATAAGGACATCAGAGCTCGAAAGCTTTAAAGATAATTCACAAAGCAGGTACTTCTTTGATTAAAAACTGTTATTACTTTGTAAAGTTCTCTGTTGAAATGATGTATACGGTATCCTTGATTTGACTGTCAAGTACAGCATGCATACCTTGAAGACGTATTGTGTGTGCTATACTGATGTGTAGTGATGGAATGTAAACAATAAATCACAAAAAACCTTATTACAATGTGGATTTCACAATGTTATACATGTAGAAGTAGATATTGGACAATAAATCTTAAAATTTGCTTTTGTGCATTAAAAATATTTGTATTTGTGGACTAGCCCCATAGGCTAATGATTAAGGGAGCTGGATTCCGCATGGTTGATTATGGTTCAAATCCTCACCCCAGTGGCTTAAAAAACATGCCAGGCATATACATGTCCAAACTCCTGACAGGACTGAGAAACAAAGTAGAAGGGATTGCAGCCCAACCACACCCTGTTGGGGGTATTTTCTCCCCCAGCCTCCCAACCCCCATTTCTGTCTCCTTCTGGCAAGTCCATGTGCCCTCTGGCAACAAATATACATACATATATATATATAAACACATGTATGTATATATATACATACTCACGTGTTTTAGCACACTTGTATTAATGAACTTGACCCCTTTCCTCCATTTTTAATATGCACACCAACAGTTGAACTTCACTGCTGCACATATAGGATGAAGCTGCTTCAAAAATTACTACTTTGGGAGAAGATAACATTTTGGCAGCTACCTAGGGAAAGTCATACTAAAGCCACGAAGGATGGATCTCTTATGCCCTTCCCCTGGTGCTGACAGTGACTGTCGCATACGACATTCAAAAAAATCCCTGCTGTTCCTTTTTTCCCCTAAGTGACTCATTCATTTAATAAATATTTCTAGTACCAAGTCCCATTCTATGTGCTGACATGTAGTAGTAATCAAACAGATAAGGACCCTTGCCTTACTGGGTCTGATAAACACTTCCCAGAATGTCACAGTGGATATTTTAAGATATCAATTCTTAGCACATGCAGATGAAAGAACAGATTTTGATTCGGATTCCAATGACATAACTTTTTTTTTCTTTTTTTTGAGAGGTTTTTGCTATAGGGCGCGTGCGCTCGCCAGACAGACAGAGAGAGACATAGAGACAGAAAGCGAGAAATCGCCCCCCAGTGGGGATGGTCACGCCGCAATCCCTCCTCCTCCATTCTCCTCTCGGGATCCTGGGCATACACGCACACGCGCCTGGCATTAGTTTGAAGCCACCGGGTCCAGGACACGAACTGTGGTCGACTACGTGGGAGTCCAGCGACATAGCCATTACGCTAACTGCTGGTTCCCCCAATGACATAACTTTTGAGATGTGTGAGTTTCTGTCATTACCCTCTTCATGCCTTAGTTCTTGTATTTGTACAATGGGAAAAATAGCATTTACCTCACAATATTATGGAGCTTAAGTAAGATAATACACATGGAAGTATCCTTAAAGTGCCTGTCATATTAGAATCACTATTTATCACTTAACTTCTCTATGAGCATGTAGTCAATGGAGAGCCCCTTCAAAGATATCAGGGCTCTAATGCACAATGTCAAGAGCAGGTTGGTGATGTTGTTTCTTTAGAAGTGGCATAGCCCATTCCCACTGTTGCTTCAAACATCCTAAGCACTTAAAAAATGCCTTCATTTAGTCAGACTTGCTTGTCCTGTTCCCAAGGCATAAATCTAGGACTTCAATAACAAATTTGCCTTTTTCCCCCTATGATGAGCCAGCAATTGCCTTAGAGACATCATTGAGACTATCACAGGCCCACTTAAGAACCATGTTATTAGAGAGCTCTTTGCATCTGAAAGTATGTAGAACTTTCATAAGGACATTAATTTATGACTGTGACTTCTGATGGAGGCAGCAATAAGGCCTGGGATAATGCAGCCAAGTCCTGTGACACACAGAGGAGTCAGTTGTTGGCTGTGAAAGGTACTGAGGCGTCAGTCATACAAGCCAAAAGCAAAAAAAAAGGGGGGGAGGGGAGGAATAATCATAAAGAAATCAATTCCATTTGTTCATAGACTTTTAACAATATAGAAGTCTGCAAAGCTTCTGAGGTCAGGGTATTCAGAGTTTGATTACCTGCTGTACCAGAATATCTCCAATTCGGCTGATCACAAAATTCTTGTCATTGTCAATGCAGGATTCCTGTCTTCGCTCCTTCATACTATAGAAGAAATGCCTATGGATTTCAAGCAATTCATCCAAACAGGGGAAGATTTTGTCCACCGTGCTGTGGTCAAGCTGAAGTTCTTCCTTCATGCCTTTCCTGAAGATCTCAGACATAATGAATAGGGTCTGGATGTGATGCATTTCTGTTTGCATTAGCTCTGAAATGGATAAGCAGAAATATGTTTAAACAGCTTTCAAAAACAACTATGCCTTGGCTAGCCATGCTGGCACAGGCAGTAGGAGTGCTGCTGTACAATGCTGAAGACCACATAGGGAGGCTCCAGGTTCAGTTCCCTGGTCTGCCTCAACATGGCAGCTAAACCTACAGAAATGCCCCTTCTGGCTATGGGGCTAGGGAAAGGATCATAGCATGAAAACCCTGTCAAGGGTACCCCAACCTCTCTCTCTCCTCCATCTCTCAAAGGAAATAAATAATAAAATTTTATAAAGTATCCCCATTGACCTTAAATTTGTGACTTAGCACTATGTTACATAAATTTTAAAAAGAATGTTCAGAAATACCTTCCCAATATAGTAGTCAGCATTGATTTTTTTTTTTTTTGGAGAGGTTTTTTTTTTGCTATTGGGCACGTGCGCTCGCCAGACAGACAGAGAGAGACATAGAGACAGAAAGCGAGAAATCACCCCCCAGGGGGGATGGTCATGCCGGGAAATAAATAATAAAATTTTATAAAGTATCCCCATTGACCTTAAATTTGTGACTTAGCACTATGTTACATAAATTTTAAAAAGAATGTTCAGAAATACCTTCCCAATATAGTAGTCAGCATTGATTTTTTTTTTTTTTGAGAGGTTTTTTGCTATAGGGTACATGCGCTTGCCAGAAAGACAGAGACAAAGAGCCAGAAAGTGAGAAATCACTCTCCAGGGGAGATAGCCACACCACAATCCCTTCTCTTCCATTCTCCTCTTGGAATCTTGGGCACACATGCACATGTGCCCAGTGTGAGTATAAGCCACTGGGTCCAGGACTTGAATCGTGGTCTACCACATAGAAGTCCAGCAACATAGCCATTACAACTGCTGGTCCTCCAGCATTGATAATTTTATTTAAGCCAAAATATTAAACTATTTTCTCCTTTCTAGATATTTTATGTAGATACATACAAGTCCAAATACAAGAATCCAATGTATCTAAACCTCTCATAATATAACTAGCTAGCAACTTTAGAGACATTCAGCTAAAAACCACATCTCATTCCTCCATGAATATGCTATAAAATGTGACTCAGTTTGTTTATTTTATTCCTTTTTACATTGAACAGGAACACAATTAATTCAATGAATTGTATTGAACAAAATAAAATAAAGTTCAAAGCAGACAATAGTAGGCCCTTTTTATTGCAAGATTTGTCTCTAAAATTCCACTTTCTCTGGGAAGGGAACAATGCATCATGACTAAAGGTACCAAGAAAGTGAAAAGACAGCCAATAGAATGGGAAAAAAAATTTCAAATGATATATCTAATAAGGGACTTGTACCCAGAATATGTATATATTAGAAAACAAAAAAACAAAAAACAAAAACCTCCTACTACTCAACAATTAAGACAAACAAACAAAAAACCCTCAGAAATAGAGGACCTGAATAGACGTTTCTCTAAAGAGACAAAATCAGACTAGCTCGTGGCACAGTGTGTAGGAGACAGCTGAATCCAAAGGTTGTGTGCATGGTTCAAGTCTTGGACCCAGCGGCTTGAAAAACACACTGGGCATATGTGTGTGTGTACCTCAAATCCGAAAAGAAGAATGGAGGAGAAGGGATTGTGGCACAGCCAATCCCTCTCCCACTTTCCCCATCTCTCTGGTGAGCACACATGCTCTGTAGCAAAACTAAAAAAATGAAATAATGAAAAATAAATAAATAAAAAGAAATAGATGCAATGCCAACAAGCACATAAAAAGATGCTCACCATCATCAGCCATTAGGGAAATGCAAATCAAAACCAAACCAAGATATCACTTCATGTACATTAGGATAATTATTTTTAAAAAGATGGACAATAAGCAAGTGTTGGTGTGGATATGAAAAATTGAAATCCACATGCATGCCTGGTGGGGATGTAAAATGGTTCAGCTGCTTTGGGAAATAGTCTGGCAGGTCCTGAAAAGATAAAGTTACCCTATGACCCTAAAAGTGGTAACAACACAAAATGCTCACCAACTGATGGCTTTTTTAAATGGCATATTAGTCAGCCATAAGAAGGAATGGAGTACTGACATACATTATTAACTCAAATAAACATTGAAAATATTATGCTAAGTAACAGAAGTCAGTGACAAAAGACTACATATTGTACAATTTATGTGAAATGTCCAGAATGGGAAAACCTATAGGAACAGAAAGTATATTAGTGGTTGTCAGTGCCAATGGGAGGAGGAGTTGGGGGCTGACTACTGATGGGTACAGAGTTTCTTTCTGAAGCAATACAAATGTTTTGGAATTAAATAGTGTTTGATGGTTCCACAACTTTGTGAACACACCAAGAACCACTTGATTGTACACTATGAAGGGGTCAATTCTATGATATGTGAGTTATATCTCAATTTTGAAACTGCATCATAGGAAAAAATAATAACCCACAATTGGTATGAGCACCAGAAGTACGAGTTCTACATTAATAGGCATTTCCATACTCATGGCACATTATCGAAGGATCTGAAATATCACCATTCAGAGTCAATAAGTCTAAACATAGCTCTGTTTTTTATTTTATCATAAACAGAAATCTTTTCAATTGGAAACCCACTAACTTTATTGTTATTACCTACCATGTTTTTGATGTTTACAATGTATGAAGTATTTATCCATATAATTTCACTTAATCTTTTTATCCATTTATTCATTATGACTACCCCCCCAAAATAATTTTTCTCGTTTTTAAAAAGGAAACAATGGGGGCTAGCAAGTGGTGTAGTGGTTAAAGTGCTGGATTCCCACACGGCCAACCATGGTTGGAGTCCTGGACCTGGCAGCTTAAAAATCATGCTGGTACATGAGCATGCATCTCTCCAAATCCAGAGAGACTAGAGAAGAAGGAATTGCGGTGTGACCATGCCCCTGAAGGGTGATTTTTCACTATTCTTCCCTCTGTCTCTCTCTGGTGCAATCACACGCACTACGGCAAAAAACTAAAAAAAAATAAATAAATAAAGGAAGAGAGGGTGAAGGATTTGCCTTGCCTTGTAACACAAAACTTTGACATCAAAAGCCATTCTTTGTGTGATAATTCATTCCAAATGGATTAGATAATCTTTAACATATGAAACTAAGAGGGACCAGCAGTTGACGTAATGGCCATGTTGCTGGATTCCCATGTAGTCGACCGCAGTTCAAGTCCCAGACACGGTGGCTTAAATTCAAACTGGGAAAGTGTGTGTGCGTGCCCAAGATCCCAAGAGGAGGAGAAGTTATTATGGCATGGCCATCCCTCCTACAGGGTGATTTCTCACTTTCTGTCTCTCTCCCTGTCTCTCTCTCTGCCTTTCTGGTGAGCATGTGCAACCTATAGGAAAAACCTCTCCTATATATATATCTATATCTATATCTATATAGATATAGATATAGATATACTTAAAACTAAGAAGTAAATGAAGAAACATGATAATATACTATAAACTGCTTGAGAAATACTAAAAGAGACAGTAATGTCCTTTCCAAAATAATTCCCATGTATACAGCCCTTTACAGATTGCAAAGCATGCTCAAACATCGTCATACCTGACCTGCATAGCTACAGCTGAAGCAGGTGAGAAGGCATCCACATAGTTAATGGACTTTTCAGTCTATATCCGCATACTAGGAGCCCATCTCATCTTTGTAGTATCTTCTTGGAACCACTTTTTAGCATCTATTTTGTACTTGCAATCTTTTTAAAATTCAATTTTTCCCAATTAGTATATAATTTAACTTCTTCTAATTTAGATTGCTTCTGCTCCAAACTGCATGAATAGCAAAATCTCACCACAGTAGAATTCCATCCTTAGAAGGGTGACACACAGTCAAGCCTTACTCTAACCATGTGCTGCCGCTTGCATGGCAGTCCATATGAATGCCACCCCTGGAATATGAGGTCACACTGCAAGGCCATATTGAACTGTAGCACCTAGTCTACCTTTATTAAATATGCTAAAGTGAAAAAAAAACATATTTACCTAATCTATACATTCCATTATTGTATAGACTTTAACATAAAGGTCTAAAGAATTATTCCTGACTGACTTAAAGCCTGGATTAAAGAGAAGAGCATATGAGCTGTCTTGCCACCATGGTGCTGTGTAACTACCACAAAACCTCAGGGTGGCATGCAATGGTAGCATTTATGGCACACGTTTAGACCAACCAGAGATGCAGCTCCCTGGTCTTAGATGAACTCACTCAGATCCTAAAGGCTGTGCAGGGATCTTCTCACATGTCCCTCATCCTCCAGGACAGCCCAGACAAGTTCACACACTGGTGGAAGGAGTGTAAGAACGACAGCTGGCTCAACTTCGCATGCACTTTTCTGCCTTTTGCTTGCATCATGTTGGCTAATGGCCCAGTGACCTCAGCAAGTCTCACCACTGAGCCCAGAATCAGAGTTGAAGATGGGGAGTAGCAATGAAAAGGCAGTATACAAGGAGGAGGCAGAAACTAGAGCTACTCCTGCTCACTACCCATCTACCAGCAGGAGTATGTGTTAAGGCCATGTTATAAAAATCACATTTCTCACTCAGGAGACAGACCCTACATCTGGGTATAGCAATGGGCTAGGGAAGCTGGGAGGTGGTTCCATTCATGACATAACCTGGGAGTTCACACTAAAGTCCTGAAAGTGGGATCTGGCAAGGTCAAGTCTTTGATCCCAGACAGAAGGCCAACCTATAGCTGCCCCTTATTATGTAAGGACTTGGTTCTAGAATTCAGAACAAATGAGATACTTTAATTTGGATAAATATACTAATTTCTATATGTAATTTAGTCTTACGTTTTATATTTAACCTTAAATTGCTTATGAATTTTTTTTAATCATCAGAAAAAATTCGGAAATTCACTGTGGTTATTATATAGAAGAGGTAAGAGTAGGTCAAGCTTTAGTAAACTTGCAAAGGCATGAGGAAAAAAAATTGTCTTGAACCAGACACACACAGTGTCGTATTTAAGCTTCACAATGCCATTTTAGCTCTGAATAGCACGACATCCATTTTAGCCCTGAATAGCATGACATCCATTTTACATATGGAGAACTGAGGTCCAGGTGAGTTATATAATTTGTCCGAGATCAGATAAGCAGAAGACCCAGGTCTGTGTGGTGTCAAATTCCATGCTCTTTCTTCTACACCACACTACTTTAGCCCAAAGAGTGTAAATGAAATGCTTACCAAATATGACATCCTGTCTTTTGATGACATCTTTTTCCTGCCTACTACAAAATGAAGGATCCACCACAAGACTCCAAGATTCTGCTTCAAATTCCTGGGCATCAGTGCTGAGGTCATTCCACAGAGAAGAATCCACGACATCTAACATGTTTAGAAAAGAGAAGTCAAAATTACAGTAACACACACAGCACAAACAGGCTGTAAGTACTCAAGCTTGTGGATTCAGCACACTAAGTAAACCTGCAATGCACATAGACACAACTAAGCCACAACATTATTAATGTGGAGTTGAAACTTCTGAAAACCAGACTGATGAAATCACTCAAATCAAGACAGCTTTCATGAAACCAGGGAAGAATTAGATACTAAAACAGCGATTGTGTGTATGGGGAAGAAGACACGAAGATTCTTCTGTTTGTTTTGGCTGGCTCTATTTTCATTTTATTTTTGGTAAACCTCAGAGTCCAGAATGTGTTTATGGAACCTTGAACCCACTTATTTCTTTTGCCCCAGGATATTTTGCACTGTTTATTGAAATCCGAATATAGTGTTTGTCCACTTGATTTGCTTTGGACTTAGGAAGACACGAAGCAGACTGTAAGGTCACAGGGGAGTGCAAATTTTTCTAATATTATTAGACAAACACACACATACACACCTCAAGAAAACAAAACCTTATTTCCCAAACAACACTCACTCAGAGCAGTAAAAATAAGTAGTGGGCCAGCAAGTGGCATGGTGGTAAAAGGCGCTGGACTCCCACATGGCCGACCACGGTTCAAGTCTCGGACCTGGTGGCTTGCTTTCTCACTTCCTCTCTCTCTCTCTGTGTCTCTCTGATCAAACTGGAAAGTAATAATGATAATAATAATAAATAAAGCTAAATAAAATAATTTTAAAAAAAATAAGTAGTATAATGGTTGACACCAAATGCTGCAGAAAGTGGGACAGGGATGGAGGGTGTTCAATGTTGAAGACAGAGATGTCTATATTCTTGATTTGATTATGACACACTCTGCTATACCTCACAAATACATACAACAACTACCTGTAAGCCAGAAATCACAATTTTTAAAAATGACAATGAATTTAAAGGCCTAAGATTAAAATAAAAGAAGCAGGCTCCTGGGTCAAAGTCTACTCTCATTGGGGACCATGGCATAATGGTTACATTGCTAGACTCCCACATAAGTCAACCATGGTTGGAGTCCTGAACCTGGCAGCTTAAAACTCACGCTGGGTGCATGTGTATGTGTGCCCAAAATCCTGAGAGGAGGAGAATGGAGGAGAAGGGATTGGGGCCTGGCCATCCCTATTTCTCACTCTCTTTCTCTCTTTGTCTCTCCAGCAAGCACATGCACCCTATAGCAAACATTTCTCTCTCAAAAAAAAAAAAAAAAAAAAAAAAGAAAGAAAGAAAGAAAGGAAAAGCAAAACAGAAAAACAGAGTCTACTCTCATGTATCTCCTCTCCATTGCTAGGTTTCCCACACTTACTGACGCAGTTTGGATACAAGAACCAACTACCTAGGTTGAGTACGGCCCTACAAAATGTGTTTTTAAAAAATGCTGTATCAATTCTTCTGAAATAGGAAGCAATGGGTACGGATAAGAATCTCAGAGATCCAGGCAAGACCATTCTTAACTAACTAATGTATATATTTTTCACGTAGGATCCCATTCCAGTTATTAATACCTATAATAGTTTTAAGAGTAAGCATACAGAGGATCAGCAGTTGGCGCAATGGCTATGTCGCTTAACTCCCATGTAGCCGACCGCAGTTCGAGTCCCGGACCCAGTGGCTTAAACTCATGCCGGACGCGTGTGCGTGCGAGCCCAAGATCCCAAGAGGAGAATGGAGGAGAAGGGATTGTGGCGTGGCCATCCCCCCTGGGGGGTGATTTCTCGCTTTCTGTCTCTCTGTGTCTCTCTGTCTTTCTGGCAAGTGCACACGCCCTATAGTAAAAACCTCTCCTCCCCCAAAAAAGAGTAAGCATACAAGGCCTGGCAGTGGTGTGGTGGTTAAGGGCACTGACTCCCACATGACTGACTGCAGTTTGAGTCCCAGCCCTGGCAGTTTGCTTTCTCTCCCTCTCTCTTTCTCTATCCCTCTCTGGTCAAATTAAAATAAAATAAATGAATAAATACATAATGTTAAATAAAAAATTCTTTAGTAAAAAAGAGTAAGCATATAATACAGCTTATTCTTTTCATCATGCTTATGACCTGTTCTTTAGGAATATGACCATTTAAACATTGCAATGTATTTCTTAGGTCACTATCTGTTTAGTATCCTTTAGGGATAAATTTTCATTATTTTTTAAAATAGAATCTATACCAAAGAGACACTATGAAACAAACATTTAAAAACTAAAAAAAAAGAACTAAAGAATATGCTTTAATCTTACAACCGTCAGAAAAACATTTCTCTTGGCAAATGCTCACAAGGACACAAAATGCTTTAAAATGTATCACAGAGACACAAAATGTGCTTTTAAAAAGGTACATGTAAATGTGTCTTCTCCTCACCTTCCATTATGAAAGACTCCGTGGAGGGGGAAGAGCCCATGGACTGTAACAGCTCATCAGAATGAGACCTGCTTCTCCAGCTGTTGCTGTCACTCTCAGATTCCAAGGATGTTGCAGACCTCCTGAAGCTAGGAGGGAGACAGTAAAGAAGAGTGAGCCCCAGCAGCCTCTCTGCACCATCAAGATGCAAAAGTACACTGGGTCTTACCTTTCCAAGGTCGTACTGGGAACACTTCTGGATAACGGATGGACCTGCCCAGCTGTGTCTTTCTTTCCAGATGGCAATCCAATGGGCATGGAGGAAGAAGGGTGCAAGGAGAGACCAGGCTGTGGGATGTCTCTAAATGAAGAATCTGGAAATCAAAATGGAGGCTTCATGTGGAGGCTTCATGGAGAGCGTTAATTACAAGTAAAGGCTGTCACTTGGAAGGCAGAGAGCTAAAACCCCACACAGCCACTTGTCACATGCCCAACCTTGTTCCTGCCACATCCTGACACTTGCTTCAAATGTGCCTTCCATTCCACCTCTTCTCAATACCCATGCCACTGGCTGGCTTCGGCATCTCTTCTTGGAGACTATGCATGTTGGGGACCATACAAACAAATGAGAAAATGGAATGGGGAAACACCAGACCGGCTGTCCCATAAACCACTGCTTGCACTCCTCAGAGCCAGCTTTAAATAGATGCAAGGTGTTATTAACACTACTACCTGAACGCACACTGTGTGTATAAACAAGCATGCATACCCACAGAGCGTGTCAATGGATTGGAATGATGCTGGGGAGTCTGTTTTATTTTGAATAGTATAAGAGTATCAAGTAAATGGAACCCACAAGCCTAGCTGGACTTCTCACTCTCATATACTGAAAACTAAATGGTGCTTCCATACTTTTCTGACCGGTTCTAAAATGCTCTGGGCATAGATATGTTTACATTTAATGTGCACTACAAATGACTCTCAGAGAATATTTCAGTCTCATATTATAGCTGTAGCACACATATTCTCAAGCAAAAGACAAAAAACACTTATGTAGATCCCAGAATATTACAAAAGACTTATTATTTAAAAAAAAAAAACTGTTGACTTAATTTTATTCTCATGACTCCCATAAAAAGAAGAATGAACAGTATTTTATCAATTCTAAGATGCTTTTTATTTTCACACTTAACCTTATGAAATTTAGAAGTACCTTACAAGCCAAAGAAACATTTGGGGTCTAGGCAAGAAAATAAGTGACTTGACAGCTGTTACTGCCTGCACTAACCTAGCCTTGTGTAACACCACATGCAGTAGCATGTTACCATAAATTTGCATACCTAATTGCCCCAGACTGAAGTGGTTTTTAAAATATCAGTCACACTTTGCTATAGTATTGAAATGAAAAGTTACCATGCACTTAAAATTCCTGCCACCTGCTAAGCAATGCAACAGTTAAGCAGAAGAATTTGCAAAATGTCTCAGAAGAAAGGAAAGGATTTTTAAACTTAAAAGAGGCATTGGTGTGGCTGGTTCTTGAGTGTAATACAACTACCAATGACTGATCATTATTTTCAAGAGAAAATTGAAAATGTTTACATTTCAGCGATATGCAACTTGGGGAAAAAAATTACCAAATCAAAAAAGTAGGCAAACAAAACCCCAATACGCCTTGAAATTTCACTGTCATCATAAAGGCACTAATGAGATCAGAGCCTCCAACACAGAGAATAAAAGCACCAGGTCACTATGATATCGGACAACACAGACTAATTAGAAACTGTAGTGGCCAGCAGGTGGCATGGTGGTTAAGGCACTGGATTCCACATGGCTGACCACAGTTAGAGTCCTGGACCCGGGGGCTTCAAAATCACGCTGGGTGCAAGTGTGGTGTATATCTGTGCCCAAAATCCTAAGAGGGGAATGGGAGAGAAGGAACTGCAGGCTGGCCATCTTCTCGAGGAGTGATTTCCTTCTGTCTGTCTCTCTCCAGCACGGACATGAACCCAATGCCAAAAACAACCAAAAAAAAAAAATTTAAAAAAAAGAACTTGTAGATATCACACTTAAAGAATTCTTCCACCACACTTTGTGACTGTTAAGAATGTGGTGTGTACTTGTATAAATATGTGCCACTACTAGGAAACCAAGTCACGTAACTTTAATGTAGTATTTTCTTTTCCCTAAAGGTTGTGATTAAATCAATAGAACATATTCCACTAGGCAGCATCTTAGAATTGAGGCAATACGGTACCTTTTCTTCACAGACCTCCCTCATATAAAAAATCATATGGCACATGTAAGACGAAGGCCCTGAGGCTGGCAAAGAGGTTTACATCCTCCTGGACCTCTTTGTCCAACTAAAAATCATGCCAAGCACATGTTAAGAAAGAAGAAATAATTGGGCAAATAAGTAAATGAAAGAAGGAGGTATTTTTAGAATAGAAAAATGTGTGGTATGTATTAAATTTTTAAACGTTCTTGTTGTTTGCCACATCACTTACTTCCAAGGATGGTCTGTGGTTTGTTCTTGTTATATTTCTCCTGGAATTTCTGGTAAAGAATATTAGAAACACATAAAGTAAGATCAAAGCACCACTGAACTACAAGAATGTCCACATGCTTACACGAGACTCTTATCAGTATCTTTTTTGTTAATTTATTTCAAACAAAGAGAAATTCAAAGCAAAGAAATTAAATGCAATGAAGAATAGAATGTGATGACAATGAAATGTGCAGGTTATAATGAAGGCGAACATGTGTTTCTGGCTTCATTCAAAGCCTCAGGGGAGCCAGAAATCTCCAGCTCAGGAGTCCAGACCTGGGCTAAAAGAGTTCCTCTCAATGCTGCCTTCTCATTCTTTTTTTTTCTTTTCTTTTCTTTTTAAAACTTTTTAAAACTTTTTTCTTTTCTTTTTTCTTTCTTTCTTTCGTTTTTTTTTTTTTGAGAGGTTTTCCCTATAGGGCATGTGCACTCGCCAGAAAGACAGAGAGAGACATAGAGACAGAAAGCAAGAAATCACCCCCCAGGGCAGATGGCCACGCCGCAATCCCTCTCCTCCATTCTCCTCTTGGGATCTTGGGCACGCATGCACACATGTCTGGCGTGAGTTTAAGCCACCGGGTCCGGGACTTGAACTGCGGTCGACTACATGGGAGTCCAGCGACATAGCCATTATGCTAACTGCTGTTCCCTTTTTTTAAATTTATTTTTTATTGCTCTGTTACCCTGCCCTTAGGATACAGCCATGTTGAACACTGAAATGTCACCTCTAGAACAACCCTCAGCTCCCCAAACTCTGTGGCTTGACACAACATGCATTTCAATCAGCATGGACGTTTGTGTCTCTGGGGCCAGCAGGTGGTGTGGTAGTTAAGGGTGCTGGACTCCCACGTGGCTGACCAAGTTTCAAGTCCCGGACCTGGCAGCTTGCTTTCTCACTTCTCTCTCTCTGTACCTCTCTAGTGAAATTAAACAAATAAATAAAGCTAAAAAAAAATCATTCTGTAAAAAAAAAAGTTTGCGACTCCAAGTTTCTCTCCCATCACACTCACTCCCATGCACTTCTGACATGATTACAGAGTAAGAAAGAAATAGAACCACTAGCACCATCATCTACTCAAGCCTGTCCCCAAATGCAGAGAACATCCCTCTAGTCCAAAGGGCTCAGGTGAGGCCCAGGACTAGCAGCATAGCTCAGGGACTCTGTTAGAAATGACCGCTATCAGGTCCCACCTCAAATCTATAGAAGCAGAAATTCTGGGCGTGCACCCGAAATCCATTTTAACAGGTCCTCCAGTGACTGAGGAAAGAAAGAAAGGCCACATTGACAGAAACTCCTCTTTCAGCACTGGTTTCCAGCTGCCCTTTCCAAAATATCACACTTGTGGGACCAGCAGTTAGCGTAATGGCTATGTCGCTGGACTCCCACGTAGTCGACCTCAGTTTGTGCGTCCCAGACCCGGTGGCTTAAAACTCACTCTGGGCGCATGTGCGTGCATGCCCAAGATCCCAGGAGGAGAATGGAGGAGAAGGGATTGTGGTGTGGCCATCTCCCTTAGGGGGTGATTTCTCACTTTCTGTCTCTGTCTGTCTGGCGAGCACACATGCCCTATAGCAAAAACCTCTCCAAAAAAAGAAAAAGAAAGAAAGAAATATCACTCTTGACTTCACGTACTTATACTCAGGGTTTGCACTGGTAAACCAAGCAGGGCCCAACAGGAAACCTAAGTTAGTGACACCACACAACTCAACTAGCCAGACCGGAGTTTCCCATCCTATTATTAAAGCCTCGGGGGGACCAGAAATCCCAGGGTGGCTACTAAGGAAATAACCACACAGTCTGAGCACTGTTATGGTATCACTACAACCATCTCTTTAGAAAGAAATACATCTAGGCAGCAATAAGAAAGAGTAAAAGTTCCAACAGATTATAATATGAAGCAACCAAGTGAAATGTAAACATGGAACATTCCCAAAGGACTAAGAGATTATTACCTTAGTACATGGAGACACAGCATCTTTACAACCCTTATGTACATTCGTGTTACAGTCTGAAATAAAGGAAAAACATCCATCTTATTTAAGTTCATCTACAATGAGTAAGACTACATCATGCATTTACTAGTCATTATATGACGAACAGACATTACCAATATTTAGAACACTTAAAAAGAAAACAAAAATATTAAATAACTAGTTTTTAAAAATGTTTTGCTAGCGGGTACATGCGCTCTCTGGAGAGACGGGAAGGTGAGAAAGCACTTCCCATGAGGGGTGGTCATGCTGCAGTCTTTTCTTCACGTCTCCCACCTTTCAGGATTTGAGGCATGCACGCATACACGTGTGTCTAGCAAGTTTCTCAAACCACTGGGAGGACCCACATAGCCCTGTGGGATCCAGCCATCTTAACCACCATGCCACCGGATGGGCTGAGAAAAACATTTAAATAACACATAGCCCTACCACATAAACTTGCTGTGAATATTTTACATTTCTTGGATAATTTTTCCCCTTCTGCAGAGGGCCTTATCAATTAGGAAACCTGGTGTTATGCATGATTCACACTTCTGTGTCTTCCTGAGAACTTGCTTCCTATTAGACACGTTGTATCGTAAGGGATTGCTGGCACCTGGCTGGTAGTAACCCTACTCCCAGACCAGATGAACTGCCTATGATGATGAAAAGAAAGTAAGCAAACCCACAACACTAAAAAAAAAAAGAAAAAAAAAAAAAGTTCAGTCAGGCCCAGAAGGACTTTCTATTATCAACAGATGTTTTAGGTAAACAAAACGAGAAGAGTTAGCCTTCTGCTCATGTTACATGTCCTAAACCATCAGGGCACACCTCAGCGGAAGACGGTAGCAAAACACTCTCCCTGCCCCTTCTGCCACTGGCCGAGACCCAGGATGCCCTTCCAGGGCTGGGTGGTGCGGGATCTGCTTTCTGCCAAGCTGTCATCTTCTTGCCCTCTCTTTCCTCCTGCCTCCTCACCACCCACACCACCCTCTCATCCCAGCCACCCCACACACTGTCCTAGGGAGAAGAGACTGGGAGCAGCAGGAACTTCTTTAGCAGGCATCCTGTAGGGGTGGAAGATCCTATTCAGGTCTGTGGAAGCCACGCTGGATCACTGCCAGGATCCACTGAGAGCTTAGCAGGAAGCTGAGCCCTATGCCCACCCTCCAGCCCTGGGTCTGAAGGGGTGTTTTTAGCCAACAGCCCAGTGGCCAGTGAGCAGAGCCTCTGCTGCCCTATGTGCTGCCCTGCGGGCAAATATCAAAATCCTGTGGTCCTCTCCCCATTCCAGAACAGGTAATAAAGGGAAAAGAAAAAAAGTAGATGCTATGAAATATCACAGAGCAAAGTTATACTGAAAACTCACAGGAAGAGCGAACCACTGAATATTAAACCCAGAAATAGAGAAGAGAAATGTAGACATCTGAAACATACCTTGGATAACAGACAAAAGACAGGGCCTCAAAGAAATAGGACCAAAAGGCCACAAAGGAAGAAGGAAATGTGAAATAAGGCCAGAGGATGAGAGCTTTGAGACACGCAAGGACAGCAGGGAAGGCCGAGGCCAAGGCCAAATTCAAGAGATGAATCTGAATGGAACCGAGAAGGGATGTGACAAAACATCACAGCAGTGCTGCAAAATTCAACGCGAAAGGCCCTCTCTAGAATGCAGAGGGGAAGTGTGTAATTATACAAGAGGAGGTGTCACACAAAGATGACAGGTACCAGAGATCATACTTAAACAAAGAAAAAAATCAGAAAAATTAGATCGGGAGTAAGAATTGTCAAAGCTACGATCGACAACATTTTATAAAGCCAAAAAGGCACCTGAAAAGGCAAATCAAACATTCTCATAGCTTTCTACGAAAAATAATTAAATGATATCTACTCTATAGGTACATTCTGACAATATCGGTATGATTAAAAAAAATTAAAAATAGACCGAAAAAGTGGATAAATCAACAAAGGAATAAGGCCAGGCAGGTCTTGGGTTTTTCCACTGTAATAGGAAATACTCAACACACTACATCAATGCTAACAAAGTACTGAAGGGCAAAGGTTTGGGGCCAAGAATTTATTTAGCTAGGTAGACTGGTCTTCTCACATGCAAGAAGAAAAGATATATTCTTCCATATAGGGTTTTAGAAAATAGATCAATTTTATTTTAGGCTATGGAGAGCAGAATCAAAATTCACACTTTCAGAATGGATAGCCTATAGTTAAGAAAAATAAAAATAAAAACAGGAGCAAGAGTAAGCAGTAAAATAAAAGTAAAACAAGCTACACAAAGACTCTCATCTAAAAAATTTGTACAGACATGGAACAAAATTAAAATGCTAAATTTTTCTTGAAATAGAAAATTATTCTTGAAAGATTAAACATACGATGTAACAAGAATAATTTAGTAATGCATTCAGTTTATTAACAAAGGCTAGAGAAACAAAAGGGTAGACATAAGGGAAATAAAAGAATATTAAATTATTAACCATCTACAACCTTAAAGCTATAATTAGTAGATATTATAAGAGCAAGTCTTGCCAAATCCCTGTAGAGGATGAAAGCAAACCACATATGGTCTAAACAGCTAACCCAGACATGAAGAAAACAGCAAGGAGCTATAAAAGATAGTGGGTAGCAGTAAAATTAAATGTAAATAAGAAAAAAATCCCTTGTTACAAAATAGTTAGAAACAGTTATTTACCTCTAACTAAATAAAAGACACATTCCTCAAACCAATGACACAGAAATAATGTAAGTAAAACAAAACCAAAAGGAAATAAAGAGGAATATTAACTTTAGCCAAAGCAAAATTTCATGCAAAAGACATTTAATAGCATTAAAGGGGTAACTTTATATTGATTAAAATTATATCTGCAATGAAGGTGTGAATTGTGAACTTCTGTGCATCAGACAATGTAACATCAAAATAAAAGCAGTGAAACCTTTTATAAACAAGGAGAATTTTATAGAAATACATGTATATTTTTTGTGGTGAATTAGCACTCTGGGTTTTAACAGAAGAAAACACCACCAAATTTTGAACACTTATATTATGTATTGTTTTATATCATAACATGTTAAGATTAGAAATACTAACATCAAAATTAAAGGGAAAAATATGCCCATGGAATAGAATTACAGAATTATTTAGCCAAAACAGCAGAGACTGGGAACCAGCAGATGCCATAATGGTTACATTGCTGGACTCCCACATAGTTGACTGTGGTTCAAGTCTTGGACCTGGAAACTTCAAACTCGTGCTGAGCACACTGCGTGCCCAAGATCCCGAGAGGAGAATGGATTGTGGCATGGTCACCTCCCTGGGGGGGAGGGGTAAGTTCTCACTGTCTCTCTGTTTCTCCTGTGAGCAGATGCACCCTTTAGTAAAAGCAAAACAAACAAACAAACAAAAACTGTTTCAGAAAAACACAAAACAGGGAACCAGCAGTTAGCGTAATGGCTATGTCGCTGGACTCCCACGTAGTCGACCGCGGTTCGTGTCCCGGACCCGGTGGCTTAAAACTCA